TTTCAAATTCTGAAATGTGTACTTGATTAGAAAAATGAATCTGTTTTCTCAATATTGAAAACAAACATTGTTTATTTTCGAATATTTTGTTTAATTCAAAGTTATTCATTTGAATAGGTTTTTTGGGCAACAATTAATCATTATCTAAACGTGATCATTCTTTCATTTTCGTTTTCTCTTAGAGTATCCAATATTCTTTCTCAAAAAACACTATCCTGACACTAGTAGTAATGTTTCTTCTCTTTTCGTTTAAAAAAGAAGGGTCAACGAAATAAAGCATGTGCGAGCTATGATCAATTTTGAACGTGAATAAAAAATAATCGGTTTGTTCAAATAAATGATTGACGAATGTTCAACAAATGAGAATTTAATTTCTGTCGAAGACTCATTTATTTAATATTTATTTCAATAATAGTCAAATCTTGATTATTGTAAAAATTTGTCTGTCTCAATTTTTCACTGAGAATTAAAATGTTCTTGGAAAATAAAAATCATTTTCTTGTTCAAAAAATAGATTGGTATTTTATTATTCTAGGACGTTTATTTGAGTATGGTATCTTGACAAGTATTCAACGATGACAATCTTCATTTCATTGAAATCACCAGAAGATTGTAGAATCGTTTTATTTTCAGATACTTGCTAGAAATTGAACATTAGTATTTTAAATATTTTGATTCATTTTATTTGCTAGAATTTAATCTTTCGAATAAAAAAACTGAAGTCTATGTGATATTTGACTACTGAAAATTAGATTTCGAAAAAGTATAGTACGCAGCATTTATGTCTGTTATGCTGATTTTCATTCATCTAAATACATATTATAACTTTTTCGTCACAATTGCAGACTTTTATTAAGCGAAGATCGATTCGCTAAAACATAATTATTTATAGCAACTGATGTTGACATTGTACTTCTCTTTGAATAATAGTTTCGACAAAAGAACTCTCTTCATCTACGCAGTTACTTTTACTGTTTTGCTTCAATTTGTGGAAATATTCAAGAAATTTAAAGTACCAGTTCTAATGTAACTATTCGTCTACTCATGTGTTAAGGACAATGAATTTTTTCATCTCACAATATGCCTGATTATTTTACACAATAGATCTATCTGTCTCTTCAATTCACGTATAATTTACTAACCAGATTCATGTGGAATTATTATTTGAATTTTGGTCACAAGCGGTGTAGAATCTTGTTGTATGTTCAAATCTGGTGGATTGTCGAGTAAAGTCGTTAATTGTTCTAGTTCTTGTTTCCATTTCATTAAGTCTGAGTCGACAAAGTTATTCTCGTTCGGCTTCTGACGAAGTTCATCCATGTATGGATTCAATAGTTGCTCCATTCTTGGAAAGAACTTCTCAATATGAAACAGCAATATTTGTTTGGATTCTCTTGCCATTTGTTGAATCTTAGCGATCGATTCACGTTCCCATTCGTCAATTTTTTTCATCAATGCATGTTGTTGAGGTTCAGCTTTTTGCTGTTCTATTTTATGTATAAGATCATCCCGCTTATTTGTAAGTATTTCCAATTCTTGATTGAGATTGTCACGATGTTGTAAATAATGTTTATGACAATAAAGTATCTGTGGACATCCCACACAAATTGCTGTAACTCTTGCTGTGCAATCTTTAAAGAAGCAAGATTCATTCTTTGCCATCTCCATTATCTGAATACTTGAATGCCAATATGTCGAAGAATAAAACTAGAAGAGAAAGTAAGAAAGAAATACATGGTAATTGTGCAGTACCAACAAATTACTCAACCAACAAAGATAATCATTGTTAGCAAAATTTTACACAACACAGTGAAAAAAACAAACGAGATGTTCGAAATGAAGCTGCTTTACAAGTGAAAAAAAGCGTAGGCAATTGAACTGTTTTTCTCAAGTTTTACAAAATAATAATAAAACATATGTGTGAACTTCCATTGAGGATTTTTATTCCAACTTGTTGCTAAATGAACAACATTTTTTTAACGAATACCACAAGAAGTTAAGTGTGTTTGTGTTGATTGCTTCGTTATGAATATCAATCGTAACGAAAGTCTATATCTTGATGTCCTGTTACAAGCATCGTAGAAAAACTTATAACTTAATTTCTTTCAATAAAGAAATGAATTCGATACTTTTCATTGATTTTTCTGAAGTTCCAAAACTCCAAGTAGATAAATGCTCATCATTTCTGAATCTATATAATTATTCATTTTCATTTTCATCTCGTTCTATAAATCGAACATTTGTGTCAGTCAATGATTTCACCAACGTAATTTCTTCGCACATTAACATTAATAGATCACTATTAAGGTTTTAGAAATAATTAAAATTCTTCTAAGAAGAAGACAATGTATGTTGCTGATTCTCTAATGCAATGATGTCAATGGAATTTTTTCACAGTTATTGAAGACCAAAAGTCAATCGAAATAAATAATATGCAGTTCAAAATTCATTAAAAAACTGTTGAGACTTATTTCTCAGCAACGGAATGCGAAATCGATTTAAATTGTTAATGTTTTGTTTGAAATCACATAGCCAGCATTTGTAGAATACGAGAAAATTTTCTCAATCGATCTCGAAATATAGTTGTTCAGCAATCAAAAAGGTTTATGTCATGAATAACATCGCAAGTCATAATTGAAGGTACAACCATTGGATCGATCGAAAATAAAACTGTATTCGAGACAAATTTTTAAAAATTTTCTCAGTCAATTTTTGAAGCTCTAACAAATTCGAAGAGAAGAATTTTCACATTGACATCAAAGTCAAAGTTAACATGTTATTAGATCGAACTTGCAAAATTCTATTCAGAACTAAGTTTGAAGTGGTCAACATCACAAAAGATGTTAAGATAAAGTGAAGAGTCAAACTGCGACAATATATAGGACAGTTTTCTTTACTAGAGCTTCTGTTCTCAACAAAACAAATAAAATATTAAATTCTGATTTATTTTGTTTTGTTCACTAGAATTTGTTTTTTTCAAAACAAACTGATTCAATTTTCTATTACTGAGAAAAAAATCTAAAATGATTTCTACCGATGCTTGCATTACATACTGAATAAAAATTTTGTTTATTCTGATTGAAGGTATGAGCAATACACATTTTTATCGATCTGCTAAGAGGCAACATGCAACTCATTTATTATGAATAATGAAGATAGGATATTGTTTTTCGAAGAAATATCAGATCTGAAATACTTGATTTTGATTTACAGATCCACACTCGAAAATCCTACGTAGAATAATTATACACATTTTTTTGAATAAAGCTGAACCATTTCTTCTCTTGTATTCTATAGCAGGATGAATACTTTTTCTTTTAGATAAAAGTAAATATTGCATCGAATAGTTTTCACTTTCCAACATGATGTTCCTTATCTGGTCGTTAGTCTTTTTCCTATTCATCAGGACATCTCGTTGTAACTATTGCTTTTAGTTACTGAACAATTTTTTGGTCGATGAGTAACCACTCAACGCAAAAATTTACTTATACACTTGTTTTCTGTGCTCCACAAAATCTGTATGTATGAAAATGAAAAACTTTGATATCGCCAAAAGAGAAATAACTATGTTAAAATTGCAGTCCACAGTCGATTTAGTATTTCCATGTACTTTTTATTTTTCAACTGAAACAGAATTTGAACGGAGCTGAGTGTTCGATGATTGTTGAAAGAATATACTGTCCTATTGTCAAGATTCATCTTTTAAGGACATAAAACACCACATGAAAATACTAAATCGATTATGGTTTAGAGTCCTAGCTTAGTTATTTGTGTTCTTACTTTGAATGAGTAGAAGTAATGTTATAGTTTACTGTCTTACTTCGATAGTTTTACGTTTTACAAAAAAACATAAATGTAACGAAAGATAAAAGCTATTAGCAAAAATAAAACCACATGATAATTCGAGAAAAAGAAGAACATAACTTTATCAAACATACAGTTATATACACATGTCATCTTGATGTTCGTCAAATATTTACTTGTTTCAAAGTGCAAGATATGAGTCAAAGTACAAGAACATATGTTATCTTTTAATCAAATAAAGAAAAAAAATACGAGTATTGTTGCGGCTAGTCAACATGACAAAGCAACTATTAGTACGGTCATTATTCTTTCTCATATACAATTAACTTTCGAAAAATTGCTCTAGTCATATTTATTCATACTTCAATAAAAATTAAGAGATTCATTATGATTGCCACATGAATCGTTTGATATTTTCTAATGAATAGAATTTGAACTATCCAGACAACACGAAGAATGCATAAAATTGTAGAAGCACTAAATAGAATTTTTTGATGTTTGTAACAAATCATTTAAAAAGTATTTAGCACGCACTGTAAACAGTACAACTACATAAAATCAAGATTTGGTTATCGCTTGAAATCAAATCTTTGTAATAGGTACCGAAAGTCAGCGATTGGTACTATTCAACATTTTTCTTCATTCGGAAATGAACGATAAACGAAAACAAAAAATGTTTCATTTGCATGTCGTTAAGGAAAAAAGAATAATTCTTAATGACATCATGTCACTACATGCTCGTTTGATTCTGTTTCTATGCGTTGATATTATAAATGAAGAGATTTCTTTTGTGAATAGTTTAGATGATGATGATTGTGTTGTTAAAGTTATTGCAGATGAACCTAAAGAAATACGAACAAAGATAGCAAACGCAATAGGAGTGAATGTAATCAATTGATTAGTATGAGTGCTTTCCAATGGAATCTGAGTAGTAAAGTGTATATTCCACAAGATGTTCAAAATAAATAATATTAAAATGTAAAAAATGAGATGACACAATTATATAATTGAACAATTAATGAAGTATTAGACAACAGTAAATTTTTTATTTATAATTTTTATTATTATCTATTGTATTTGTAAAAAAAATATAGTTAATCAGACTAAAAACATTCATATAGCTTTGATATAGATAGTTTGTATCAAAGAAAAAGAGCATTGGTTGAAATAATTTCGTTTTCCTAATAAATCAATGATCAATAACGATAATATTCAGGTTTGAATGGTCTATTTGGATGTAAATCTAGATATATCGATTGTGTCTCTGTTAGTTTTTCCAATTTGACACCTAAATAATCTAAATGTGCCAAAGCGACTTCCTCATCCAACTAGACAAAAAAAAAGAGAAATATTTTGAAGGAAAAGTTCTTTTCGAAATGAATGAAAATAACACTTACAGTTTTTGGGAGATTATGAATTCCAACTGAATATTGTCCTTTTTTTGTAAATAATTGAATTTGTGCCAAAATTTGATTCGAAAATGAATTGCTCATCACAAAACTTGGATTACCATGAGCACAAGCTAAAAAATGAAGATAAATATCAAAAACTATTTCATTCTTATTTTTTATAGATAATAATATCAATTACAAAGATTAACAACATGACCATCAGCAGGTAAAATAATAGCACGACCACTTGATGAATGATAAATATCAACCTATAACAATAGAAAATAAGTAAACTAAATTCATTTGTCATCAGATGATTCCTATACTTGTGGTTTAACACTTTCAATTTTGACTGCATTTGCTTTTAACCATACAACATCAATTTCAGTTTGTCCTGAACCAATATTACATAAAATAGCCATATCACGCATTTCCATCATATGTTCATCACGAATTAATCCTGTTGAACCAGTAGCTGATACAAATATCTAACCAATTTTACATACTTCAGTCATTGTTGTTACTTGATAACCTAAAACCATTTATTCATCATTAATTATAACTAAGAGATAGATAGATAGATATTATTTACCATCCATTACAGCTTATAAAGCACAAATTGGATCAATTTCAGTAACAATAACTCGTGCACCATAACCACTTAATACTTTTGCACATCCTTTTCAAACATTATCATATTCAATCACTACTGCTATTTTTCCTCCAATCATAACATCTGTAGCACCTTTGATACCATCAATAAGACTTTTACCACATCCACAATTATTATCAAATTTTGATTTTGTAACACTATCATTAACATTAATAACTGGAATTTTTAATTTATTATTTTTGAATAGTTTACGTAATTTTGTTATACCAGCTGTTGTTTCTTCACTACTACCATATATCATACTTGTTAAATGTGGATATTTTTCATGTATAATTCGTGTTAAATTACAACTATCATCTAAAATGGCATTTAATGGTTGACCATTAGCAAAGTAGATTGTCTAGAAGATAAGAAAATATTGATTATATGGATAATTATATATCAAAAGCACAATGATTGTCACTTATATCGAATTGTTGAACTGTTTTATAATCAAACATTACCTCATAAATTTGTAGAAAAAAAAAACTTCATTGTTTACTTGATCAATACACCATAATTTTTCTTCTTCAGTTTCACCTTTCCATGCATAAGTAGGTATACCAGTTTTAACTAATGCAGCTGCTACATGATCTTGTGTTGATAATGGATTACAAGAACTCCATTGAATCTATTAGAGAATAATAATTATTCCCTAGACTGAAAGTATAGGGTCTAGAAACGGAAATTCGCCTGTGTCTGTCTGTCTGTCTGTCTGTCTGTCTGTCTGTCTGGCTGTCTGTCTGTAACACGTATGGTTACCATATGGTAACTATGTGATCGTTAAAATAAAAATAAATATATATTTCGAATGGCGCGCAAAGCCAATAAAATAAGATTTTCTTTCTATTCCCAAGACTGAAAGGCTAGCGTCTAGAAACCGAAATTCACCTGTGTCTGTCTGTCTGTCTGTCCGTCTGTCTGTCGGTAACGCAGTCAAAATGGCCATTTTTTTGGCACACGTGACCATTTTTATGGCATAAACGACCACTTTTTTGGCACAAGTGACCATTTTCGTGCCACAAATGGCCATTTTTTTGGCACAAGTGACCATTTTTTTGGCACAAACGGCCATTTTTTTACTAAAATTAACTAGGTAACTATGGTACAAATGAGCATGTAACTATGGCACAAACGGTCATTTTTTTGGTAGAAACGACCACATAACTATGGCACAAACGGTCATTTTTTTGGTAGAAACGACCACATAACTATGGCACAAACGGTCATTTTTTTGGTAGAAACGACCACATAACTATGGCACAAGTGACCATATAGCAATCATGGTACAAACAACTATTCCGGTAACTATGGTACAAATGACCATCTAAAGACTGATGTAAATGAACCCATAATAATCATGGGTAAAATGTCAATGGAATAACTATAATTTGGGTAGTGATGTAAAACGGCTTACTTACACAAGCATTTAATTAGTGAGAGTCAGACCAAATGAGCAGTATGGATTTAAAGAAATCGTTTAAATTATTCATTATTGTAAGATTGATTGTGCAATGTTGTATCAATGAATATCTAATTTATTAATAGTTTAGAATTAATGCGTGAATTTAAGCATAAAATATTGATTAATAAAACTCAAATTTTATGAATAATATAATTCATATTTTTGTACGTACAAATAGCGCCAATATAATTATAAAAAAATCGTATTGTTGTCTAATCTTATTAGGCGCTATTTATATTCATAAAAGCAAAAAAAAAATAAAACAAAAACGATAAAAAAAAATTAAATTTGTAAATGCATCATCTTTACTTAGAGTGAGAATTCTCCAAATTAAGTTTTCTGGTCGCCTAAGGTATACTGGTCATATTATCAATGTTGCGTATTACTTTTTTAATGTAGCTTTTTATGCTATTCCTTCCGTACATGTATTCTATCAGTCTAGGGCTAAGTGAATCGCTTGACGATGAACGTTACTTGTATGTTAAGAATATTTGAAAATCAAAAAAATAATTTACTTGTGCACCCAATTGACGAAATGTTTCAATCATAACTCCAGTTTGTGCTGTTAAATGTAAACATTCAGCAAGACGAACACCTTTCAATGGTTGTTTAGGAGTATAGATTTCTCTCAATAACATTACTCCTGCCATTTCATCATCAGCCGTTGATAATTCTTTTCTACCTAATTCAGCTAGATTGATATTAGCAATTTTATATGGTGATTTTTCAATGTCATCAATAAATAAAAATGGTTTTTGTTCATCATCAAAACGATTCGTCATTTGAGATTCATCTGAAGAAGAAAAATAAATTCTTCAAAAAGTGAATAAATCAATATCAATTTTTCAGATTTTCTTGAATAATTTTCTTGTAAACTCTATGATTTGATTTTAGAAATGAGTGACATGTATTTTGTTTATCTATGCTGTGAAAGCTGTCAGTTAATCACAATTTCAATGGAAATATCGACGATATATTTTATAATGCATGACCATTTTTCCGATAGACTTACCAAAATTTTTTTCACTCAATTGTCGACGAAAATATTTTGCTCCAACTGAAGTTAATATTGGTGATGTTGGTGAATTTTCTGATTCTTCTTCTTGTTGAATACATTCAAAAACATTTTTTCTTGTAATTCTAACAAAAGACAATAAGTTTTGATTTTTCTGAAAGATCTATATGGACAAACCTTTCATAATGATATTAATTAACTGTACTTATCAATGAATTATTATATAAATGAATGCTGTAAGATTCTCGTAATAGTTTGTGACTTGTATCAAATTGGTTTTTTTTGTAACATAAAGAAACCTTATATGTCAATCGAAGTTTTTATAGCATCGTCTGTTTTGTATTTGGTAAAAACCACAACTTTCACCTTCGCCGAACGACAAAAAAAGGAAGAATTAAATATTATCATCTTTTTAAAAATATCTATAAATATAAGTCACAGGCTAAGTCAATATATGTCAATAAATCATAAAATGTTGTCATCAAAAAAGAATTTCTTTCTTTCTTCGATTTATCGATACACCAGCGTTTTTTTTTATTGTTTTGAATAAGAAAGAACTGATAAGTCAAATACACTTGATAATCAAATTATGACACACATAAATATTACATTTGGAAAAATTCTTTCATAAAAGATAAAAATGGTGATTATATATTCGAAGAAAATTAACAAAAAACAAAATTCACATATATATCATCATATAAATTTCACTGTAGACTCTTTTTAAATTAAATTGAGATTTATTTGTTGAATCGATATGACTATTACTATTACAAAAACGACTAGAGAAACAAAAGTTCATCATTCATTTCGAAAATGGTTTGGTGTTATATGACTTTTAATTGAAGTTAATTTAATTGGTGGTACAATATTTGGATTTCCAGCTTTATTTAAAACTTTATCACAATATGGAATTTATGGTGATCAAAATAATTGTTCATCATCATCATTAATAAATAGAACAGAAATAGAAATTCGAGAATTATCTTGTGAAGTACATCAGACAAGGTAATATCAAGTATGTAGAGATATAACAGATTAGTCAGAAGATTTGTTTCCATTGTTAATTTATGTGTATAATTAATTTTAGAATGCATTAACATTAGAAATTATTTTATTTGAAATTCCATCAGTAATTATTGGTCCATTGATTGATAGATTTGGATGTCGATTTGTTAAATTAATTACAATATAAGCATTACTTTTCTCTCTTCTATATTATATTTAATTCTAAAAATTTTCTGTTTTATTGTGTTGTTTTTTTTAAAGAATACTTCATATTATTGGATGGTTAGTATTAGCATTAGTCCCACCTGGTAAGCAGGCATGTATATAAATATTTTATATTGTAAATATCATTTTATTTAAGGATGAAATTCATTTTTATATGTTCATACAAGTTTTTCATCTTAAGCTGGTATTATTATCTTATTAACAGCTTATACATCAAGTGATTATTTTTCAAAATCAAGAGCTTTTGTTTCTGCTTTATTTGCTGGAGCATGTACATCAGCTACAATGTGGTATTCAATATTTCCAAGTATGTTATGAGATATTATCTTTTTCAAAAAAGAAAAGCTGATTTTGTTTTTCAAATTATATTCGTTTCGTTTTTTCTCTCTCTCTAGGTTTTAATTGATGCTAAAAAGATAACATTACAACAACTCTCTTATATATGGATATCATTTAGTATGTTAATGTTAATTAGTTCATTTATATTTCTTGATTGGAGATTTCCTATTTTAAATTTATCTTATCAATTTGATACAAAATTAGAAAAGAAAAATATTCATTCAAATATCATGACTAGTAAAATTTAAAAAACAAACATTATTTCTTCTAATTTGTGATTATTTCTTATTCATTCTATTTAGATGAAGATCAATCATCGGACAATAATGCTGACGGGTTTCATAAAAACTTCCATGGAGGACTCTGAGATGAAAATGGCGCCACTGTTCTATAAAACACTTGAACTTCAGAATTCTGTCTGAATGCGAGTAAAATAGAATTCTGTTTGAGTTCTGCTACAAAAACAGAATTCTAAGCAGAATTTTGGATTAGGTGCAAGGGTAAGTGTATCGGGTCATTCAAAATTCTGTTAGTAATTCAGAATTCTGATTGAATTCTGCTGGAAAAACAAAATTCTAAACAGAATTTTGATTTAGATGCAAGGATAAGTGTGTAAAATCATACAAAATTCTGTTGGTGGTTCAGAATTCTGATTTAATTCTGCCGGAGAAAACAAAATTCTAAGCAGCGTTCTTTTTGATATCTGTAAGCAAGTATGCATAAAGCAGAATTCCTAAATTCTGCTTGTGAGAATTCTGCCTGCCCTCATCCTTTCTCACTATCGCTTTGGTTTTCATTAATAGTCATTGTTTATTAGTTAAGAGCATTGTTGAATTACAATATCGCTTGAATACAATTAAAGTACAGAAGTCGACGTCTCTTCTATTGCGTGATACAAATTAATTCAACTAGAAGTATCTTTTCAATTATATGATAGAATATTTGAGTTTTTATTTTCTTTTTTCACATTATACGTAGGAAATTCATTAAATTGTTATAGGGATTGCTTGACTTTCCTACGTAGTTCAATAAATGATGAAAGATGGTGAGCAATTTTCTTATTGAAAAGAGGGAAATCAAAGTGATACTCTCATTATATTCATAGAGAAACATTCTGCCACCTTTCTCTGTCGCTCTCTCTCTCTTAGAAAGCATTTATTTTATAGAATTCTTTTTCTCGTTAAATTGAATTTTCACTATAAATTGAATTGCATTGAAATCATTCTTCATAGGCAAATTTAATTTGAGTTTTTTTATTTTGAAGTGAAAATGAATAATTAAAACTTAGGTTTCTTTTCTTCAAGAAACGATATGACAGGAGATCGTCAACAAATGAAATACATCAAAAAATAGTAGAAGACAGACAATAATAGAAACCTTGGCTTTTTTTGAGCCATTGAATGGCAATAGTTGACTACTGACTAGGAGAAGTATAAACATGTATTATGTATTTTTTGTTTCTTGAAGATAGAAACGGACAACATTTACTTTTCGCAAACAAAGAATGTCAACAAACGAAACTACTATCATCAATACTCTTTCACCATCCTATCTACCCAGATTTATTGTCTTAGTAACACTGCAAATTCCTTCTATTCTAGTCTCACTTCTTATCTTCATTTATTTTATTCTCAATCGAATGTTTCGTGTAAAAGACCATAATCATGCCGTATTAGTATTACTATTGATTGACTTTCTACAAGTTACTACTGATCTACCTATGACAATGAGTTTCTATTATTTGAATGGAATTGTTCGACCAGCTACTTCTGCCTATTGTATTTGGTGGGTATGGTATGAATATTCACTTAACAATATTAATGCTTTTCTTATGGCATGGATATCAATCGAACGTCATCTACTCATCTTTCATTCTCATCTCCTCCGAACAGTAAGCACTTGGAAGAGATGGTTACTTCATATTGTCCCTTTGATCGTCTGTTTGATGTGGGGACCATTGTTCTTCATTATCATGGTTATTATCAGTCCTATGTGTGTCACTACATGGGTTTTCAATAGCTTTATGTGCAGTGTACCATGTTATTTGACGACAAATTGGGGTTTATTTGATCTTCTTTTCAATATAATCTTTCCTGTTTGTACAATTGTCATTGCCAATTTGACTCTTATCGCACGTGTTATTTATCAAAAAGCAAGTGCCATTGGTCGTACTCGGATTGATTGGCGTCGTCAACGAAAAATGACTCTTCAATTGGGTATCATTTCTATACTCTATCTTGTAATTTGGCTTCCACTAAGCATTGGATTACTCGGTCAAATCTACATAAGTCCAAATTTTTTTCTTGATCAAATTGATACCTTCAGTTTTCTGACTTATCTTGTGCCTCTTTTGTTACCATTCGCTTGTTTGATATCAATGCCTGAACTTATCAGAAAATTGAAGATGATATTATTTCGACGACCAAATATGTCTGTTGTACCTGTTATATTTAGATTGGATCAATATCAAGACATAAATAATACATTGAGTATTTCTACTAGACAAGGAATATAACAAACAGAATCATTGCACACTGTTGTTCATCACGATATAATATATCAATGAATGTCGGATTGTATTCTTCTAATATTTACTCATAATCTCTTGGATGAAATGTGGAAAAGAGAAGAATATGTTCACAGTTGTAAAACACAAGTTATTTTCTAACCCAACAATGAAGACTTCTCTCATGATCGTAGCATGGAAGTTTGGCTGATCTATGTATGTTACAAAGGTTGAATAGAATAGATTCTTCTTTGAAATTACAATTTCAAATTGATTTGAACATAAATTATCAAAACCTATTCTAAAATTTCTCAAAATATATTGTTCCAATGAAAAAAAAACCAAGAGTCATTGGTCCAAAAAATTTTGCACCATTCGTCAAACAGACTTTTCTGATTGTCATTTCAAATTATAGTCATACAACGCTTCTAGTGTATGTGATTGTTTGTAAACTCTTCAACGATTGTATTGTAAAACACAATTGAAAATGAGTATTGAAGTTTAGAGCGAGAAAAATGAACCCGCACTGTATCCCACTGGTCGTGACAGACAGGCAACATGGTATTATAGAGGGTGTATGTGTGGATTTTGTTGTGTATATTCTCTTCACCCAAACCCAGGTCCACATCCACATCCTTATACGGTAATTGATAAAAATCATCGTTCCATCCAAAAGCACTATTATACTTCTGATGGGTCATGATCTTATAGGCTGCTGCTAAAATAGAAGTAGCAGATACATAGGTACACATTTGATATCGTCGTTGATTGTTTTTACAAGATCGAATAGAGTATACAAATACTTGGTCATACAGTCGAGGGTCAAGCGAATCGAGATGACATGCGTTACTTGTGAGGAAATTACGGTTTTTTTTATAAAGGTTGACGAAAGTAAATTGGGTTCGTGGAATCCGGATCTATGATCGGTTCTTCGAAATCTTATACTTGCTTTCATGGTCTACTCTACTACAACAGCTTGTCCTGATATGAAAAAATTTAATACACAAATTTGATAAACTGATTGCATATTCGGATTCCTCGATTTCGATTTACTTTCGTCAGCCTTTTTTAAAAACCGTTGTTTTCTCAAAAAACCCTTTCCTTCGTGAAAAATCGGTGACTGTTGCACTCCTATCCACACCCATACACTCAACAGTAGATTATTTAGATTGAAATCGATTACTCTTGATATTAAACTATTACTGCTTGGGATCAGAAAGCGACAAACTAGTGAAAGTCAGAATTTCTTTTTTTTTCATCGAGCAAAAATTATGAAGAATTCTGATGGAATGTATCAGCAAGATAAATATACATCTATGGTTATAATATTTGACATTTGGGACATGTTAATCATTTCTTGCTTTTGATTTCATTGTCATCAACGACCGAAGATTACTGCTCATTCGGAGATGGAGAAGATTCAGGCTGAATTGTAACAGTAATCAATTGTTTGTCATTAATGTTCTCCTTCACTAATTCTGCACTGGCTGTGCTGCGTATGACATCGTTTTCCATTATTTCAACTTCGCTCGTCATTGTCTGATGTTGCTTATTAGTCAATTTGGCAATCGCTGTTTCAATAGATTTGATCTGGTCATGATCAGGTCCATAGTTGTTTCGATAAATCGAAAGACTTTAATTAAAATAATTCAATGCTTCTGCTGGTTGATTTAGTCTTTCATAACAAAGAGCAATTATGTTACAAACATCGGCACTATTAACATGTTCCAATGATGAACATTGACGATAAATAGTCAAAGCTTCAAGAAGATATGGCAAAGCAGGTTGAAAATTTTTATAAATTGCCTGAAGACGACCTAAACTTGTGAGACATTTAGCAATTGGTTGATGATCAATTGGTATTGATTGTCGAAGATTCGATAGAGCTTCGTTGTAATACTCCTCAGCTTTCTTATAATACTTTTCGTTGAGTAGTATTGTCGCTATAGTCATCAATACTCGGGCAATACGAGGATGATGATGATTAAAAATGGATTTTTGATGTTTGAGTTCCTTAAGACAAAACTCCAGTGCTTTCTTAGTCTGATTGTCCTTTGTGTATGTAATGGCGATTTGATTTAAATCTTTTGATAGATGAGAATGATCACATGGTAAACAATGTTTGTTCATCTCGAATTCTTGATGATAATAATCAAGCGCTTTGGTATAATCACTCTGAGTTTCATAGACAAATCCGATATGACCAAGACATGTGCTAATCTTCGGATGTTCGGCAGGCAAACGATCTTGAAGTATGTTTAGTGTACGTAACAAATGATCAAGAGCCGTATCTATATCACCTTTTTCTAGATATGTACTTTCCATATTTTGAAGTATAATCGCTTTTTGTTCACGATCATTAGGACAAGTTGTTTCTTCAAGTTGAAATGCTTGTTGAAAATAATCAAGTGCTGAATCGAACATTTTCTTTTCTGAAAGAATATTTGCAATATTATGAAGCGATGCAACAATCAACGAAGGATAAGATGGTGATTGTTTTTGACGAATTTCATAAGCTTTTCCATAGTTTTCTAGTGCAAGATTCAATTCATTCTTTTCCGAATAGACACATGCTACTCCATTGTATGCTCCAGCAAGACCTGGCTGATTAGACGGAAGAGATTTAATGAACATTTTAAAAATATTTTTCTGCTCGATCTGCTTGACTTAATTCATTAGCAAGAAGCCAACCAAAACAAAATCATCGGTGAACAATCCTCCATCTGTTGTTGAATAGATCGAAGATATTCGTTAATATTGTTCGGATATTCATCAATTGTTTGTAATTTGATCTTCCAAAGTTGCTCAATTGAATCGAATTCGATGGAAACAATTCGAAAAAGAGAATTTACTTTGAAAAGAATTTCTTTTTCAGCTGGATAACAACTTTCATCGCTGATATCAGCACAAATAACTGTAGAGAATGATGGTTGAACGTCAATTTCAAAGAGAACAGATTGAAGATCATCAGGAATAACATTTGATCAAGCAAAACCAATTGAAATAGTTTGATCACATGACGTGGACAAGAAACTATTAATCGATAGAATTTGACCAAGATTCATTTTCCATTTCTCTAATTCTTCCATGGGAATTGTTTGTCCACGATATGTCGTAAAACTATTTTGATCTTTCAATTGAACATGTTTCTGTTCAAGAATCAAACATAAATCAATAATAAAAAATCGAAATGCATAAATTAATTTGATATTTTCTGTTCGAAGAGCTTTATTCAATAATTTATAAACGAAACTATTCCTGGTATACCATGGAATTGCTTTTTCACGACGATAATGTTGACGAAATTCTTGGATCTTCTTCAACTCATCTTCATTCCAATGATAATACTGTTCACATTGATCGAGTATATCTGTTTTCGATTGATCATCTTGAGACATCTGTTGAAGAACATGAATTAACATTTGATGCCATAAAAATGAAGCTGATTCTTTTGAAAGATCACGCAATAATTTCTCGTTTGGACCACATACATTAATAGTAATACAGTTTCTTTCCAAACGATGAATCGATTGTAGACGAGAAATTTTCGAGGGAACAATTCGTGCTAATGATCCCGAAATAATCAATAAGATTTTTTCATTGTTATTAGAACCGATTGCATTGATATATAGATCAGAATCAGTATAGAATTCGGTAGTTGGATTTAATTTAAATAACATTTTTTGTGTTTGAATAGAATCATTCGAATCATCGATATTCGAATCAAGCCAGATTAATCGGTATTCTTCCTTGTTTTCTTTCCATTCATTTGAAGGACGATTTCGACAAAATTCAGACATCTAAAAAACAAAAATTAATTCTTATCAATCGACTCTGTTCTATCAAATGGATTCAATTAGTGAAGTTTTACCTACCGTATGCAATGTTTACGAAAAACAGAACGAAATGATTTTTACTGTTTACTTCAACGACTGTAGTGATGACTTGTTCGTTCGATTATTTTTTTTTTTGAACAAGTCTTCACATAATGAAAAAGAAGTCTAAATATAGCCAAGAACAATATTGTTTTCATATGTTTCCAAGGTTACATGCATCAGATTTTGTTTATAATGAACGTCGAAAAAAAATAAACTTATGCTCGAATCACAATTACGTTATTCGCTTAGAAATAGAATTCATCGATATGATCAATTGGATATTGAAATAAACTTTATTTGATTGAAATATATGCGTCTGAAAAAATTCTCAGGAAGAGCGATTTCTGAATAACATATTTACAAGTATGTAGAGCTCCGATGATGTGGGTGTGAGTGTCGTTAGTTGCATCGCCCACACTCACATCCTCCTTATTCTTAACTTTGAAAAACATTATTTAACAATAAAAGAAACTATTATTGACAATATGTCACGTGTATTTTGACATTAGAAATACGAATAAATGAGAGAGTTTGTTTACTGAATTATCTTTTCATTTAAAGAATATCTTGTCAGAATGACATTCAATAACACAATAAAATGAAAATATTCTATATTGATGTAAAAGTATTTTGGATTTTTGATCGACATAGATATATATATATATAAGGCTTTAATTTTTCAAATAAATTTTATCCTAAGTTAAACTTAACTTATTGGAAGAGAATCAATAAGATTGAATGAAAAACAAAAACTAATCTATATATTAAGAAAGAGTTATTAAGGTTGCACCATCGGTTTTTTGTTTTTGGACAAAACAAGCATGTGCCTTTTTGACTCTAATCATAATAACGAGCGTGTATTTGTCGACATATCTACATTCTTCTTCTTCGAAGAAAGAAAAAAATCTGTATTATGTCTTCTCTGTTCTGTTCTTGTTCAACCTTGTATTTATTATAAGTTAAGGTTTATTTCTCGTAGTCATAAAGTATAGAACTACATAGTCAGAAGTATAATTTACATAATAAATAATAGAAATATTCAAGAGAAAATAGTTATATTGTTTGCAATATTTTTTATCATTTGTCGTTGGTTTTTTCTTTATAATTTCTGTTGAAAATGATACATCTAATATTATTGATTTATTTTTTATATTTAATAAAATAAAAACGTATCGTGACAAGAGAAAAATCATCTTCAAATAATTCGAACAAGAAAAAGCGGCTATCAACAAAAGTATCAACTGAATGTAAAATTTGTGGAGATATGGCTAAATATTTGTATTTCGGTGTCATTTCATGTGGTCCATGCAAAGTATTTTTCAAACGAAATCCTGAATGAGGACAGGTCAATTAAAAAAAAAATCTTTTTTTTCAACTATATTCATTCGTTTTTTTTTGTAGAAAGCATTTAAATGCGATTTTTATGATAATTGTGAAATAATCGTGATGTATGTTCTCATTGTCGACTTGTAAAATGTTTTTGCATGTGAAATGAAAATTGAAATGGCTCGATCGTCTATCCAAAAAAAAGAATAGAACAAATCAAAAAAGAAAATTAATAATGGATACAGTACAAACAAAACCATAAACAACTTTAGTTAGATTAAATTAATCTGAACAGGTGAGACTATTCCGATTATCATAATTAAGTATATCATCATTGTTAATATGGATTAAACGTAACGAGCAGATCTACCGTGTTTGTTGGAATCTAGACTGAACAAGAAACTATGAAGTTTATTAGTAAACTGTTAATCTTCTACATTCTACATGAAAAAAACCATACAATTAATATCAGTTTCAATGATGACTCCTCAGTTTCTCAGTTTAGTGAATACTGGTCAGATCATTGGTGTGTAATAAAATATCCTATTGATCAGAATAGTCCTTCATTAGATACCAACGTTTTGTTCGTTCGCGATTCTCAGTTTATCTCGAAAGAATCTGTTGATGGCTCATTTTCTGTCTAACCGAGACGTCAAGAGCTGTGACACGGTAAATGATTTAAAATTGTCACCTCTTAATGCTTGAACAGCTCTCATTTCAACATAGATATCTCAGGTAGTATCAGTGAAAAACAACAGTAAGACGGTTTAATTCTGTTTTGATTATCGTCACTTAAACGAAGCAGCACCAACAGCCGCATTTTTGCAACAAAGCATTGACTATATTATCTATATACTGAGCACGCAATTCAAGCAATATTTTATTTTGTCAAACTCTATTTTATTTAAACATGAAATAAAGAAAGAGGCTTAGAAATAAAAAGCCGGCCCAAATATCTGCGACAATTACAATACCAAATGCGCCTTTGAATAAAGGTGGATAGCAGTAATTCAAAAAGACTGAATCATGATATTGAACACTTTTGTATTTGGTTAAAATCCATGCATTTCCACAGCACCAAAGAATAAAACTTGTTAATAGACAAAGCCAAACTACAAAGATAGTCCAAACACGAATTCCTAGAAGAGAAATAAAATCAATAATTGATTGTGGATTTTAGATTATAATTAACCGCATGATGTCCTTTCTTCGGTTTCCTTCTTTTGCCATGGACCTCCATTCTTTCTTATCCATCTTTGATAAGTATTCGAAACAGTCTTGAATGCATCTTCATCGAAGCAAGGTAAGACGAAAACAAGAAGGGGCAATACGATTTCGATTACTCCACTTGCAATTAAATAAGTTTTCAAATTTGGTGCACCGGGACATTCTTGTTTTGACCATTTAAAATAATATACAAGTTTTATTACAAATAAACTGATATAGCTCACGGCAAGTATCACAAATAAAATTGTTATAAAAATTTTCATAAAACTGACAATGAATGTAAATACGTCAATTTGTAGTATGGATAATAATACTTACTGATTCATTATTTCTTCTCTGAAAGTCGAAACATTTTCTCAGTTATCAATAATACTTTTTTGTAGAAGAAAAAAAAGCGAGATTCAAGGATCTAATAGCTTACGACTTTGATATAAGTATTCTCTCTTTTACAAGTTGATTGTCGTACAACCATTCCATTCTATTTGACATTATTTATTTTTATCGTTTATGTCAACCGAAGCAGAAGAGAGATTATAAACAATAGACATCTGGCATCTGTTAACCGTTTTCATAAACAATTGTTAGTATGCGTGAGCAGGTTCGCTCAAAGTCGTCGCTGTTTTCATCTGAGTTATTTTCGATATCCTCTACTATTTTTCTCTTGACAGATGTAATTTTCTTTTGTCTTTCCAGAGTAAATCGATGTAAATATTCAATATCACACAGTGCCAGCCCTCTTTATATTTGTACACTCCTTTTGTCAGTACTGTGACATAAATGAATATATGCAATAACACTCATGCCCACATATTTCGATTTTCCAAAAAACACCTTTAAAATCTAAATCTTTGCATCTTGGTTTTTCCAAATTTTTCTTTGTTTATTTGTTTCATTATGAATACCACTTAAATCTTGTGAATTCTTTTCCTAAATAAAACTTTTTAGAAACAAAAAAGTAAAAGATTTCATTTATTCATCATATATGATGATTATATAAAATTATTAATTAATATGAAATATCTGAAAAAAAATTTCTATCAAAGTGAGGATATTTTTACGTCAAAACTGAAGATTCTTTCGAATTTCAAAATAAGTAAATTATTCATCGAAAAAGCTAAGAAGTTATTCTTAGATCAGAAAAAAAAGAAATGAAAATATCAAAATATTTTGTTGCATTAATTTGTTCACTACATATAATAAGCTCTCAAAATAGATATAACAATTTTATAGATAAGATTATGGACAATGATGAAATAACTTTTACAAAAAATACCTATTGATTAGAATTTTGTATTAATTCATCGATAAATCTTATTTTTCGAAAATAGATCATCAATAAACGACGATAAACTTTGTGTTCTTGCCATTATTTATACGTTCGAATAATCAACCGAAAGGAGAGAAATCAATTGCTTTCATTAAAAAAATTTTGAGATAAGATTTTTTTTTCTGCAACCAAGGCAATAATATGGATGACTACAATTTAGCAGAAGGAACACTTGAAAAATAATTAAAATTGTATTTTTATGAAAAATAAAAAAGGAACATATAAAAGTACAGAATTGCTTCATTTATTTATAACTTTCAAGATAAATGTACATTAGCTTTTATCTTCTTCTTTCATGCCACATGAAAAAACACCCTATGATGTGAATCATGTAAGGTAGACAGGCTAAAGTACAGTTTTATTGTATTTTATACTATATAACAAATATTTAGAATAAAAAAAAACTTTCGAGAGCTCAGATAGATAAATGAATATTTGCAAAAATATTCCTAATAGATGTAACATGTGAATAATGAAGAATAATGAAACGAAGTTTTTCAATCTAAGTTATGTCATTGACATAGATATGAACAATATGGTCTCGATCCCAACAGAATCGGAATTGGGGCCAAGAATGCCTGGCCCTACTCATGTCTAACTCGACTGTTGTTAAGTTGAGCTTGTTTATGCTACCTTTAGTCTAATGACTGATACACTACTCCATCTCTATATTCTTCACTTTCCACGATCACACAAGGACACATTTTAATACGTTAAAATATTCGTTTTTTAGGCTAAAACAACGATAAATACTTTTGCTAAAAGCAAATTTGTGGGTATCATCATCTTCAGACCCGTTTTCTTTTTCAAAAAACGCTTGCTTTTAAAAACGTAAAAAGTGTATATTTAAATGTATTTTTTTGTCGATTTTGGCTGACTGGATTTTCTTCTTTGCTTCTTTCTTGTTATCATGATAAATGTGACAGTTTTTCGAAAAATTTTTTTGAAGTAAATTTTCCCTTTTCGAGACAAACCAAAACTAAGAATTTCGTTGAGGATGTAGAAGGATGAAAGATTGTGAGATGGATGTGGATGTAAATGAAGAGAAGGCCCATACCCACACTCACATTGTACTCACACCCACCCCATGTTAGCATAAAACTAACCCGTAGTAGAAGATCATTTTTGGGAGAGTGATGTGACATTCCATAAAAAAGGCCATAACTTTCTATTCTGTGGAAAAGGAGGGAATAAATTTATCAACATTTTGGTTTACACAAGTAAATACCATTTATTATCGTACCTTAAAGTATGATATGTGTTAGATGTTGATCCAATGTTACAGTTATCATTTGTTAAGGTGAGAAATCCAAAAACAAACTGAAGTTTTCAAGTTAAATCTCCAGAAAATTGTAACTAGAAAAATATCTACTAAAATTAGATTTATCTTCGAGTTTTTATATCGTTTCTACTGTCAGATACGTGATTCTTTCTAATAACATATCAAGTTTGATTGTGACTTTCTTTCGAGATGACATAAATAAAATTTGGATATTAAGTTTGAAAACAATAATATTATTTTTATCAAAGTTTTAGACCTCTCACAACAGTCATATTCGATTCAGGATTCTTACTCTTACCACCACTGCCCTGTGACGGCCTTTGGTTTCTACTGTATGCGTTTTCATTAAGAAATACTGCAACTTCCAACAAAATTCTTAAAAATTAAGTAGTGGCTTTTCTAGGGAACTCTTCAGACTAAATGGATGAGAAATTCAAAAAAACAATTCTAAATGGTATAAATCCTTCTTGGTATCCTCAATATTCAAGCAAAACAACAAGCTTCGCTCCAGAACAATAGAAGACTTCTGGAAAACCAATTTTTGTAGAAGGTAATATTTTGGAATTTGACCTCGCTAGAAATTTCAGCATAGATGTAGTTTGTGGTGTAGACTCTATCGTGAAATATTTGAATTTATTTTTGTTGTAACGTCAGAGAGTTATTTGCTAATCACTTTTTCATTATCTGATTAGTTAATTAAAAAAATGAATTAGATGCTAGGTGAACGAGCCGACACTTTTACATATATTCATGATAAAAGAGTGTCCCAAAAATTAACTAATGCAAAGAACCAAAGTTCAATCAAAGCGATATATGTAGGGATGTCCTGAAATAGAAAAAAAGTGTGAAGAGGAGAGTTGACCATTTGCAAAAAGTTATTCAAAATTTTTTATCAATTATCGAAATTTCTGAAGATTGGAGGTAGTCACCCTTCTCACGTCCCTCTCCACTCGGGACACTCCTGAGTGTATGTCTCATTTTGCTTGATTTTGCTCATATGCATGCAAAACGAAGCGATTTCCTTTATTTTGATAGCGAGAGAGAGATATTGAAGGCTTTTTCTGCGTGGAGAGAAATTTTTTATTTCAGCGGCAGATTCTACATCCTGCCCGTAAGGATCAACCCGCTACAAGTGCAAAAAATATTTTAGTTTTTCTCAAACGGAGTTCCTACTTTTTATTTTTTCTTCTTTGCTTATCAACTTTCGAAAAACATTCAATATTCTCCTCTCCGAAATAGGACCTACGTTAGCAAAATTATTCTTAGAATACATAACAAGACAATATGTTTGTTCTGTAGAATAATCTATATCTATTATCAACTGCGCGTTAATAATCAATGACCAATGTAGCGAATAAGATTATCATTGATTGTAAATTTTAATTCTTCTGTTTAATATTGAATTCCAAAATGATATAATTCTAAGAAAAGTTTATTTCAACTGCAAAATAGATTAATCTGTTACACAGAGAATATTAAAATAAAAGGTTGCAAGAATATATAGACGACAAGAAGATAGCGACAAAATATTTGAATTCTGACTAAGTAATGAGAAATAAATTGCAACATATA